AACGTTGCTTTTTATTACTTATACAACTTAAAAGAAAATCTTTAATACAGGTGTTTTGTATACATCGAGTTGGCGTAAATTCTATTTTGGCTTGGAACTTGAACATAGGGATGGATAGTTGAGGAAGGACGGTAAGTATTGTGAAGGGGGAAGACACATGGTACCTGTTTGCGGTAATATAATGCCCCCGTGCGGATTGCCTCAAGCCGTACTCCTTAGAATCCTCTCTCCTTATTACTACATCTTGTCTCTGCATGTGACGTTGGCACAGCCTCTTCACCCTTTCGCCTTAACCTACATTTTTATCTCCCTTACCCAAGGGAGAATTTTTCCGAATACATTTGTCTAGAAGTGAGAACCCTTAATCTATTTTGACGACCTTGTTTTCTTCAAATTATGGTTCGAAGGCTACACAGTTTTGATACAGTTACGAATAGAAAGGAAAATAGCTACGAAAATAAATTAGGTGGTAGGGTGTGCTTAGAGTGCAGAAAGGAATTCACTTTATCAAGAGAAGAGCACGTAGGCTAGTTCTATCAGCAAGATCTAATTTTCTACCCTAGTTTTACCTTTACGTTCCAGTCGACTTTGTTGGCAAAGCAATTTCTCCTTTTCATTAAAGACTTCAAAATATAATTTGTTGATTACATAAATAAAAAACTTTGCTAGTCGAAATAGTTGGATTTTCGTTAAAATACGCTCACTGAGTATTAATGAAGCCAAAAAATATTTTTATGTGTGGTGTTTAGTGATCGTTATTTAATGACTATTTCGAGATCGTGAGATGTGGTCTGGTGTGACGTTGGTTTTAGAAAAACATTTTCTTTATCGTGCCAATGTTTCGATCTTTAGTAAGATCATCTTTAGGGCTCAAAGTATTTTTTAGTATGTTTTATGTGTAGATGTGTTATTCTTTTGTATCGTTTTGAGAGTGCCCTTTTTATTTATTTTTTATGTGTAGATGTGTCATTCTTTTCTATCGTTTAGAGAGTGCCCTTTTTATTTTTTTTCCTGTGTAGATGTGTCATTCTTGTTTGTCGTTTTGAGAGTGCCCTTTTTATTTATTTTTTATGTGCAGATGTGTCATTCTTTTCTATCGTTTTGAGAGTGCCCTTTTTATTTATTTTTTATGTGTAGATGTGTCATTCTTTTGTATCGTTTTGAGAGTGCCCTTTTTATTTATTTTTTTTTCTGTGTAGATGTGTCATTCTGTGTGTCGTTTTGAGAGTGCTAGTGCGATTTTGATGTTTTATGTTTACATACGGATTTATTTTGTTAGGGGTGGAGAAGGAAGTAGGGATAGAAAGACATTGTTATATTAGGCTTCTTTGAGGTGAAAGGAGCCGACAATGGGAAAAAATAGGGTAATGGTTCGACCTGATGATCGTTTCAGGATTATATAGACGGAGATAATTAGGGAAATGAAAGCCAAATGGATGAAGATAATATCAATAAAAATCGAAACGTTGGCACGATTAAGAAAACGTTTTTCTAAAACCTACGTCACACCAGACCGCATCTCACTGTCTCCAAATAATCAATATTTTTATGTTGTGTTGTTCTAGGTAAAATTCTGCCAATTAGATTCTGCCCACAATTGCAAAATGAATTATCATTTTTCGCTTTTACCGTGATACAGCCGCTTTTTTTTGTACGTTGAGCCCTCCAGCAGTTCTCTCTCACCTAGTTTTATTCAGCATTCTAGACGTATTTTCTTTATTCTCTTGACTTCTTCTCAACTTTTTTTTTAGTTATTCAGATATCGTGAGATGCGGTCGGGTGTGATGTAGGTTTCAGAAAAACGTTTTCTTTATCGTGCCAACGTTTTTTTTTTTTCAAAAAGATTTTATTTATTTCTTTTATGAGGGCATTTCAACTACGAGGTTATATGCCTCGGGCTATCGGTGTTTATGGGAAAAAGACCCGTTTGTAAATGAGTCGGTTTCGAATGCAAGGCCGCTGGATTCGAACTCCGGACCTTTACCTTACAATGATGAACGCCGTGTCAACGCCTAAACATTTTATATTCTGTAATTATTACGCAAATTATGTTTGAGTTGAAAAATTAGGGTTACGAGCGGGACTTTTGATGTACTAATACGGAGGTCGTGGTTTCAAGTCACGATCGTGACACTAATTTTTCAACTCAATCATAATTCACAAAAAATTACATGTAATTACTTTGGTTGATTGGTCTAATAAAAAACATAATATATTAATATTTTATATTCTAATTCTACTTTGAGCCTTGAAGATGATCTCAATATAGTTCGAAACGGTGGCACGATAGAGAAAATGTTTGTCTAAACCTAGGTCACACCAGACCGCATCTCACGTTCGTTCCCCAAATAATATTTTTATATTCTGTTGTACGCTGAAATAAGTTTTGTGATTGAGTAGATAAATACAGGATCATAAGGTTTGTAGGCCAAATTGACAGCCAGCTGGAGTGCATATTTTTCCAGGTTTTAATCCAGTTTTAATCTTAAAAAAAGTAGAAACAAACTATTAATTGAATAATTTTGAAAAAAAATGGTTTAAAACATACATAAAACACAGACGTTAATCCAAACAGAAGAGTGAACAACTTTCTGTAAAAGTAGCAAAATGTATCTCTACGTAACCTATCTAACCTATCAAAGCGGTGCCTTTGAAACCGACAAAGATTCTCCGACGACCGATCGAAAGAGTATTACTAGGCAATGTGCTTGGGGAAATCCTCTTAATAGTTTATAGCACAGATGTACCGATTAAACCTGGCACTCCGCTGCATCCTATCCGATGAAACTGCGGTACTATCCTACAGTTGCCTCGGAAGATCAGCAGATTCATGTCTCACGATTGATGGAAACAGACACGAAGGTCTACTCTACAAACTTGTCGAACGATCTATGCTAAAGGCCAAAAACAACCTACATTCTACAAGACGTTACTACAACCTAGTCGTAAAGCGTCGAACTTTGTGGAACCGCTAACCCTTCTAGATCCAACGTCTCCAATCTTTTCAATCTTAAGTCCTCAGATCCATTCTAAATGCTCCGTACTTCAGTACTACCTTCCACAACGACTTTAAATCCACAAATTTACAAGTTTTACAATATACTCTCCCATCACCTTAATGATGATGACAAGGGAATGCGAGAAAGCGTTTTTTATTCCCAAAATCCGTTTGGCTTATCCCAGTAGCTTAGTTCAGTTTAATTGACTTAAAAATGACTACTACTTCTTTCTTGTAAGAAGTAGTAGGTCATTGTCAAGGTCATTACATCTCTGCAATTCTTTTTCCACGGCCTTTGATTTAATGATACCCATGACCTGTGTGACCTATCCTCCTCTGATCGCTATCTGACTTTTCATAATCATGAGTTTACTCTGACTGACATCTCTGGAGTTCGTCCGTCACCTTTTAACTTTTATTTTTTGGGGACTCATTCCAAGATGGACGAGTCGGCGTTTATAAAGTATAAGTATACGTTTATAAGGCTTAAGAGTATATATGTTCATATAGATTCTCCTATGACCAGTTTATTATGATTTTCCAGGTTTACTTCTATGTCTTTAGGGGTGCCTGATCTTGTGAGGATTTTATTGTCAGAGTCACCATTCTTACCATCCTCCACAACGACTTTAAAATACCATTTATGCAAAAATTTACCAAGTTTCACTGTAAAATCACCCAACACATCAATGGTGATGATGATAACGAATGGAAGGAAGATGTGGTTTTGTATTTCCCCAGGTTCTGGTTTTTGAACTTTACTTAGTTCTTTCGTTTAATTCAATTGACTAATTTTTTTGCTGACATTGCTGCAATTCTTGTTCCAGCGTGTTCATGTCTCCTTTCTTTCTACCCTGACACTTAAGATGTTATCGGGCTGTCATGTTTTCCTAAGTTTTGTAGATTTTGGACGTGACCTTTTTACGAGTTGATGTTGTTTAGGCTGCATAGCCGTCTCATCATATTGAGGATTTTAAGACAAAATAGCCATTGATCTCTAAACTTTTAAGTGGATTTTACCTGATAAAACATATTTAAAAATTTAGAAAAGTCAACTATACTTTAATAGTGAACGGAATAGCCATGGGTTATGGGGATTCGAATACTGAACCGTAAGCTTGCAAATGCGGATCGAACTCGTTCCCCTGGGTTACTTTTCTTTTACTGAACTAGTTTATATGTCTATCACTATAGATTTGTTTATATTAGAACTTTTAAAGTTAAGGGGTTGGTGTGCGTGTCGATGAACCCAAGTTAAACAAGTATTGGCTTCGTCATTCCTCACTGAACATGGCGGAGTATGTGACAAGTGTTCACCTGAACATCCATGAAAAAACTTATAATTATTTAAATGAATTGTACTTTTTATCTAAGGTGTTGGTTAAGATGAAAAGTATATTTAATTTAAATAGTTAATAGGTTCAATACATACATGGATTAATACTTGTTATTACATCGATTATATTTAGTGTCTATTGACCAAATTACTTCTTTCAATTAATTAATCTAGTTATGTAAGGTTTTGGGTTGAAATGAAAAAGTCAATGCCACGGGCAGGATTCGAACCCACGACCTTCAGCTAAATACGCCGTTGCTCTACCACTTGAGCTATCGTGACTTCGATCTACTCGGAGACGCCGTGAATTCGAATCCCGCTCGTGGCACTAACGTTTTCATTTCAACCAAATCCTTACAGGAAAAGAATAATTACTTGTTATTATGTTAATTGCATTTGGTCATGGTGCACTACTTGTCTAAAAGAACGAATCAGATCATCGGACATATTAAAAATCCAGCTCTACCTAAAACTGACCCAAAAGAGCGCTCATAAAACTAAATGACCTTCGAGTAGAAAGAAACAACGCCCTCCTCACCACTTCATTTGCCAACAATCTGATTTTCATCCCCTGCTCTAGGTATACTCTGCATGTCATAAAAGTAAAATATATTGAAACTTCATACGATTCGAGCCAATAATTTTATAATATTCTTTCTGTTGCAGGTAAGTGGAGGATGTAATGGACGTGTAAGTGTAAAAATTAATCCACATCCACAATGTAGAACAACTGCTAACAATTTCCTGTCACATTATGCATATGACTTTTTTCGAGGGTGGGGCGATGCATAAGCTATATTTAATAATAAAATAATAAATAAAAGAATCTTTTAATGTCATGCAATAAGATAATTGCAAAATATCTAAATCAATTTTTCGAAATGTAAGTTTGTTTTATGCTTTTGAAACAGTCCCATGGCATGTTTTATAAATTTTTATTTTGTTTTTCGAAAATTGACAACGTTTCTAGTTATTATTTTACATTCTAATTTAATGATTTTCAACTTGATCCATTTACTTCCTTTAAATGATCTTCTGCTGATTTGAACCATCTTAAACGTCAAACTAGATTCAATCAAAGTCACTCTGTTTACACTTTCCCTTTCTATACTGTTTATGGTTCTTGACGGAACAATGATCAAAACGAGCATAATTAAAATAGTACTCGGCATTTTGAAAAGTTAGCCGGATAAAGTGATTAAACGAGGTGACATGATGCCTGTAATCCGGGGGCAAACAACATCCACGATTACGCCGGCACAATACACAGTCCTTGGTTGACAGCAGTGTAAACATAGCCCAGAGTCCACAGAGCCTAAGAACAGTCGTTTCTCTTGTTGACTGATTGAAGATATAATATGCCCTGACTCCAAATGCGGAAATTTCTTATTCGCCCGCACACACGTTAGCAACATGTAACAAAACTTTTTTCACATGTTGTTCCATATTGTTTTTAAAAGTCAAATTGGCGTGGATTTTAACATGAGTTTTCTTGTTTGCTTGTTTGCTTTTTCAATGGATGACAATTTTTTTTGGTGAAAATAACTGATTGGTGTTAGTCTGTGTACCCCACAATTCGCCGTCTTCTTATATAATTATATATAATTCCATCTTTTTATAAAAGGCTCCTAATGTAAGCAATAAAATGTTAGTAAAAATAATACTAGTATCAGGCAAATAATAAATATCAGCACGGGTGTCGTTGGCTGCAACGGTTAAAGCGGGGAACACACTTACCCGATGCAACGCTATGCGACGCTACCCGACGAATTTTCCATAAGATTGTATTACCCCGGTGCACATCTGTCGGATGCCAGGCAACGCTACCCTACTCAATGCTACGCGATCCCCACTGTCCAGATTTCGTCGGGTAGCATCGAGTACAGTCGAAGACAAAAGAACCGGACACTCATATTTTTATTCAAACTACATGTACTATTGTCGTTATATTAATTACAACAAAATTATTTTAATATAAACCGAGATCAAAAATTCATTAGTTTTTATTTAAAAAATAATAATTTTAATGGTTTGGTAGAAAATAGATCAAAACACCGGAATACCATTTATTATATAATAAATTTAACTAACGATTTATTACTCGTTATTGCTCACAAAATTTAATTAACAATTTATTTCATGGTTTTGGTCATAAAATTACACCGTTTTTGCGAGTAGCTTCAGAACAGGACACTCATATTTTTTGTAGTTTATCTCAAACGATGTATATGTAATTTTGTCGTTATATTAATTTTTACGTTCTTACTTTAATGTAAACCAATTTACACGAGATCAAACATTCATGAGTTTTTATAAAAATTATTTAAATTCGATGGTTAGGAAGAAAATTTATGAAAACACCGGAATAACTTTATTTAAAACAATTCAGATTAACAAACAATTTATTACATGGTCGCGTTTATAAAATTTACCTAACAATTTATTACAAGGTTTTGCTCAAAATAGTGCGTTAAGGACAAAAGAGGCGTTGCGATTGTGCTACGGATTTGTGATACTCGCTGTGTGACTGGCGTACGCTTGACGTCACATAGATGTGCACACTCAATCAAAACGTGGCAAGGCGTTGGGTAGCATCGGGTAAGTGTGTTCCCCGTTTAAGGCGTAAGGTAATCCAGCGTCCCTTCGTTCGAACACGACATTCTTATCAATGTGTTGTTGTTTTTTCAAAAACAATGGCACGACGAGGGTTGATATAACCTCTTCCGTTGCAAACCCTCGTTAAAAATTAAATAAATAAATAAAAACAATCAGCAGTTTGAGAAGCAAGGAGACACCAAGTTATGATCAGTATCACGGACGAGATTTTGACAGACCGTACCCAGAATTATTTGGAGATCGTGAGATGCGGTCAAGTGTGACGTAGGTTTTAGAAAAACATTTTCTTTATCGTGCCAATGTTTTGATCTTTATTGAGAACATCTTCAGGGCTTGGGATTTGTAAGCATTGTTTAAATTATACAAATACATGTAGTATGTGGAAAAAAATTGAATTTATACATGCTAGAAAGTTTAGACTCAATCAAAGTATTTGTACTCACTCAAAGTTCTGTGTAGATGTGTCATTCTTGTGTGTCGTGCTGAGATTGCCAGTGAAATATTGATGTTTTACGTTTATACACGTTGGATTTTGAAAGGGTGGGGAAGGAAGTGGGGATAGAAAGACATTTTTATATGAGGAGATGAAAGAAGCCGACAATGGGAAAAAATGGGTAATGGTTCGGCGTGATTATCCTTTCAGGATTACATAGACGGTGATAATTATGGAAATGAAAGGCAAATTGTTGAAGAATTAGACTATGTAGAAATGTTTGATATGTGGAATGTTATTGTTGATGGATGATTGTTATATATGTTTTCTGTGATGTGATGATGTTATATGTATGTTATCGATATTGAATTTGATTATTGATATTGGCGTAGCTGCGACTGAGTTTACATGTGTCTCTTCGGTAATTGATTCTGTGTTTATCTCTGTTGATGTAAACCATTTCTAAAAAGTTACGTTTATGTTTGTTTTGTTCTATGCGTAATATTTTTGGATTGTTGAAGTTGAAATTGTGTTGGTGTTCAAAATCGTGCGTAGCCAGTGCTGTAGGATTTTGTTTGGGTTTTTTGCAATCACAGATATGTTGCTTTACTCTCTTATCCAAATATTGGGATGTAATTCCGAAATAAGTTGCCGGACAGTTTGAACAATTGATTTTGTAAATTACGTCAGACTTATTTGTTACTGGTTTGGGATCTTCAATTTTGGAAAAAAAGTGTGTGAATTGTTTTATAGTTTTTAAAGACCTTTTTTAAGTTATCAGAAGAGGGAAATGTGTTTAATTTATGTGTTAGGCCGTGAATGAATGGCATGAATATGTGTATTGGTTTGTCTATATTTGATAGATTTGATGTGGTATTATTAGTAGTAGTGTTGAGCTGTCATTAACTAACCACACACCTGAATATAAGTACATCAAAGTTCACAATATACGATTCCGTCTCTGCAAGTACCTGCATGTACAACTATACGTACAAAAAATACAGAGACTCACTTGCATTTGTATCACTGAAGCGATGAGAACTACCACAGCTGGTTTAGAGGAAATATTTGGATTAATCCCCCTTCATCAAATACAGGCAAGAACAACCTCGTTGAATATCTAATATTCATGTACCCTCGGGTCCACATGAACAAGATAGTTGGATTTAAATAAAACTTCCAGATAAGCTTGAGTACCAAAAAAGTTCACAGTAAAGGACTTCTACCAATGCAATCGCTAGTATAACACCTAAACGCTAAAAAAAAAATCAGAGACCCGCTTGCATTTGTATCAATGGAGCGATGGAAACATATTTGCATGGAAACATGCTGATAAGGAGGATATATTTGCATTCATGCCCTCCGTCAAATGCGGCAAAGAAAACTATTAATCACTTTACCAAAGAAAAATCTCCGGAAGGGTTAAAACTAAAATTGAGAGACAAGTACATCCTAATGAGTGAATTGCCGGTATTCAGGTGGTCACCCTATGATGTACATCTGGTTGAGAAAATGCTAACATATTCAGTTTTATACGTCGAATTTAAATTTAATGTCAAATCCCTCAAAATTTTCCAATGATACTGAAAATTCGACCAAGTATTCGGTGTATCCTCTATCAAGCTATGATTTCAGTTATTTATTAACGACACTACAATTTATGCTACAAAAAACATTAGAGTCTGTGTGTTGTCCTCTGTCGATAACAGATATTATCAATTGACTGGAATCCATCTTTCAGACAGGCTGTTTGCAGATAAATTCAGACTAATCTAAAATAAATCCTTATCTCACAAAACCGAACACAATACGAAAAATACGAAATTGATGGTGGTTGTTGGTTGACTGGACGAAACGCGTAGTAAAACGTAAACCAGCGAGTTGCGAAAATATGGATCACATAAGGATCACTACATGGCACATATTAAGCAAAAAGAAACTTTCCACCGCTGGGAGAAAATATAAGAAACATGAGAATGGTACGAGTTGAAAAAAAAAACATGACCCTCCGAGTAAAAACAGATGTAAGCATACGGTCAAAACAATAAAGTTAATCGAGACATGAAATGAAAGGTAGCGGAGATGAAAAATGAACCAAAAAACAGTGTTTAACAAGGGAACCAAGAAGATAAAAAAATAAAAGGAAGGGAAGAATGACCCAACAAGCGAAGTGGAAAGGAATTGTAGACTGCGCGAGTGAACAGTGAGAAAATAATGGTAGTGATTTTGCCCACTATTGTGCGTTCTTAAAAAAATATTTAAAAAAAATCAGGTTATATTTTTTTTAAAAACTCCACAAGCTAGAAAAAAAATTAAAAAGTGTATTTTTATACATAATCAGTAATATCTTCATTGAATTTTTGGTCAAATGGACCTTGTTCCAACTTTTGGACGTTTGATTTCAAACGAATGTTGACCAGAAGAGTCATCTATAGATTCCAAACCCCCTAATAAATATTAACCTTGTATAGAGAAGAAAATTTATAAAAGAGGACCTCGTATTTTAACCAATGTCTATATTTTCTCTCTGATGTAGACGTGACGAGCGTGTTGAGGCTAAACCATAATACTTTAATAGTACAGCATTGGGATTTTATGTTCAACGTCAACTATGATCATTTATAAACGTCAACGCCAGTCG